TGTCATGTTGATTAATTCACCTTCACATTTCAATAGACAATGTTTATGTCTATTGCAGTTACTGTTATAGTGAACTGTTTAATATAATATTGACTGACATTGATTTCTGTTGACTGACAGGTAACCATGTCTACAGTAGGTTTTGGGGATATATCTGCGGTGACATATTTTGGAAGAGTTTTTATGATAATATTTATCTCCATTGGACTGGTATGTGAAATTTGGAGTTAATTACAATGTAACACTTAACAATAACATTAAATGAGCTTGTCTGAGATTTCCATCACATATAGAAATTGAGAATGAATAATCTAGTTGTTTTTACTTAGTGAAAGTCTACCAGTTGTTGGAAATTCTTGTTATAAAAATCCTCTTCAGAGAATTTTGGAAAAAGTGGCTGACATATTGTTAACAACCGCACATGCCTATGCTGCTCACCATCTACAACAGAATAGATGTGTGGTGTAGCAAATCAGATAGCAGCAATCATGATAGAATAATGCTTTAAATTTGTGCTCATTCCTCATTCCGTACCCTTTCAAGTCTATATTCAGCTGGGCCAATTTAAGTGTCCCATACTGATGTAGCTTATTCTATTTGTGTCTGTTGACTCTAGAGGCAACTCAAGAGGCTTATTTCTACTCTCCTGCTAGGGATCTGTTAGGGAAGACTGACAAAGTGTCATTAGGGAGCCCTGATTTGCAATATTTTGCATGCTCAACATCCCCTTCAACTCCCCTTTGTGAAGTACAAATAAATGTTATCCTAGATGCTTCATGCTGTCCCAGCAGTAACCAAAATAAACCCCAACACTGTTTGCCAGCTTAGTGTTGACATCACAGCTGTGTAAGGTGATGACTTAATATTTCTTCTTGTCTTGTTGTCCAGGGTATGTTTGCCACATACATTCCAGCCATCTTGGAATATATAAGTTCTCACACAATTTACCATGGATCATACAATTTACCAGAAGGGAGAAAGTAAGACCTTGCAGAATATTTGTTTTCTGCCTTTAATTTACAGTTGTATTACTTAGTGTTTATGTTATTTTTTTATTGATTGATTAATTAATTTTATGTAGTATACCTGTCAACTTTTCCGAATTCAAATATAATTATGTGATTTTCATATCCATATTATCCAAATTTCCAAAGAAAAATCTGAAGATTTCTGGAGATTACTACAGATGTTCTAACAACTTTTGAACATTGCCGAAGATTCCCAATGATTTTCCATTAATACATCACTAATAAGTCACGTTATACAATCACAAGTTTGTGTGCAGGCCCTCGAACTGAAACACAAGCTTTAAGCTTGCTATAATTTACTGTAGGACTCAAACTTGACATTTAGGCAGTTCACCGGAAGTTGAAATCAAATTTCATGTTCAATTAATGGTTACTGAACTAGTAGTCCAGAGTCATGCACGTGGAATTGCCATGTCAATGTGCAGGCCTACTGACACATACATGTCAGTAGTGTGTGATGATTGGCAGTTATGTTAACGTTAAATGGTACAAAAAGGGTCATTACCGGTAATTAAAATGACTTACATGTAGATTCTTGGATTTTATGACGTTCTAATATTGATCAGCAACAGACTTTGTTAGTTACAGTCTAGGGATATTTTAAATCAATGAACATTGTTCTGATAATTCCAGGCATATCATTCTTTGTGGATATATCACAAAGCAGAGTGTGGAGACATTTTTGAGGGATTTTCTTCATAAAGATCGATCTGAAACTGCAGTGAATGTGGTCATCATGGCAAAGTGAGTATAGACTCATTCAAGGTTTGACTAGTAGATTGAAGTACTTTTTGTCTTTGTTTAATTTGTTGGAAGTTTACGAAAAGTTCAGTTTTAACAGGTCATGTCATATTTTTAATTTAGCTGGGCATTTACACAATTTCAACAAGGTCAAAAATGATGCCCGATTTAAGGATAAAAATTTTCAGAAACACTCCCTATCCTGTAGCACATACCTACATGTAAATTGGCCAGATGTATGGGAGTACCTCTCCCCAGGATTGCCATCCCCCCCTTACACCCAGGGGTTAAATACTAGTTATAAGAATGTTGAGAAATAGTTGGAAATTGTTAAACTAGAAGGCAATTTTGGTGGAGCTTACTAAAACCATTAGACTACAGTTGAACCTATACAAACGGCCACCTCTATACAATTGCCACTTTCCTCTGCCCCAAGGTATTCTTCTTTCTATGAGGTAATAGGTTATTCCACCTTGAGCCTTATCAACATAATCTGCATGGTTTATAATTTATGATTAGTGCAAATTAAACTTCTGGTAGCCTTTTATATGTAGTTGAGGAAAACAGTGTGTGAATAAAACCATTTTTGTGTTACTTCAGTTTCTTGCCAGATGCAGAGTTGCAGTCACTGCTAAAGAAACATTTTGTACATGTATCATTCTTCAAAGGAACTGTTTTGAGTGGAGACGACTGCGGAAGAGTTAAGGTTAGTTAAGGGATTAATGTGATTTCAGAATTTTTTGTTTTTTCAATTTTGTTAGAATCATAATTTACAGTGCGACTTTTCCAACCAAGGCCACATAAGAAAGTTCTTTGCAAATTGATACTGGCATTTTAAAAGTTTTAAAGTAATCAGTAATCAAAATGACCACAAATCTGTTGCCTTGGAAATGTACAGGTTGATTTCAAGGATAATTTTTTTGGAAAAATATTGTTAACCTCCACAATTTTTATTTGTTAAATTTGTAAAAAAAAATTGTTGGGCAGCCTCGGTTAAAGCAGTTGCACTGAAAGTCAATCAACCCAGAGAGCAAGATAATTAGGTCACTTAGTTTGGACCTTTTGGACCTTAGTCCTTGTACAAGCCAAGTGACCCATCATTCTAGCACCTATCTCTGAATTCAGAAGCGTGACGCAGTGACAAGAATTTTTACCTCGGGGGGAGGGGACTCCCACGTAAAAAAAGAACAGGGGTGCTCGTCAGAAATTTGGATCAGATGCTAGTCCATTTCAGGGCTATCCCCCAGCATTAAATTCGCTGGCACCCATTGGAGAGAGGCACTGTCAGAGTTACTGTAATGTCTTCCCCAAGAACACAACACAATGTCCCTGGCCAGGGCTCATACCCAAACAGCTCAATGCAGAGGCGAGTGTATCAACCATAAGGACACCATGGCTCCACCAAAAATATATTTAGCAGTGTCCTACAATGTATGTTTCTGCTATAAGCAACTTCTTTTTATTTCGAGCTACCAAGGGTTACAAAGCAGGCTAAATAGAACTTGACACCAATTGAATTTCTCTTGATGTCCATGTAGATGAAGATGGCAGATTGCTGCATTGTGTTGTGTAACAGAGAATGTGTAGACCCTAGTGAAGAGGATGCCGAGAACATCATGAGGTGCGAGTATTAAAAATATGAATGTATTCCTAGAAGGCTGGATAAAAAAAAAAAAAAAAATAGTTTATTATAATTTGGTTCCATATCATTTCAAACAAACCTGTAGAAAGAAAGTGCATGGTTCAGGGCTCGAAAAATATTGGAATTCCACCTTGCCCGTTGGGCAAGGAACTCCCAAATTTTGCTTGCCTGGGGCACCTCTCCGCTTGCCCAAGATTTCAAACTCATTAATAATTCATGAACCCCAAAATGGACAAACCACAGGCGTGTTTTAATGTAATAAACCCATCTTGACTGTAGTCCTCTTAGTGCTGATCACTCTCATGTTTACGCCATTATATTGTAATACTTCCACAACTTTTAACTTCTTCATTCTGCTTTTATGGTGTCAAATTCAACTTTCCCTGGAATTTTCGAACGTGATAAATGTCATCAGGAACTAAATTTTGTCCTACAGCATCTTTTGCCAGTGCCTCCCAGTTGAAGAAATTGCGAAGTTGTAGTAGTTCGTTCATGTACGTACTTCCTAGTTCCTGTATTACACGCTGGGTATATTCGTAATTACTACTAATTCGTCGGAAAAGCCAGCAAGAGCATAATTTTTCATTTGGATGAATGAAAAATAGTTTCAGTCGAGGGAAAACGTCTTCGTTTGAAAGAAACACTATTTTAAGTCATCTTTCAGGAACTCTGAAAGTAATTTGATGACTTACTTATCCATTTCTTTTTAATAATATAATACTTTTCATTTCATTACTTGCATGTTACACTGAAACAGAGATTTACCTGGATTTTAGCATCAAAATTGCTGGCTTCGTTTTCGCAGTAGCAATATGCAGCTTCTTTGCACATACAATTTCTACGGCTTTAATATATTGTTGTTGAGTTAAGTTTTGTACAGAGAAACTGGAAAATGCTCGCAGAAAATTGCTAAAATTCTAAGAAATAAACACAGCATTTTCATGCCCAACGCAGCTATTTTTAATCCAGGAAAGAAATTTGATCGGGGCAGATTTTGATCACGTGCTAGGCAACCACTTGTGAGCCGTGAGTGCACGTCACGCAATCAACAAAACAAGGCTACAAATTGCAATTTTCATCAAGCTTCATCTACTTGAACACTTGATTACCCTTGAGCCTAAAATTTACCTTTTCTTCTCAAAATCATTACAAAAAATTTAATCAGCGAACGGCTTGCCTGGGTCCTTGCCCATGGGGCAAGTAAGGAGAGAAAGTTACTTGCCTGAAGGGAAAATCTACTTGTCCCGGACGACCGAACGGGTTTTTTTTTTGAGCCCTGATAGTTACTTAGTGAAAATTTGTAATCAGAATTATTTACGGTAAAACAAGTTTTGTCATGTAATAGTCCACAGGTTCAAAAGTGCACACATCTGACCTCATGTACATCAGAAGTTCCCATTTACTGCCAAAAAATGTCAGAGCATTAACTTAAAGACGTTTTCACAACTTTGCAACAATGCGCAAAGTTCAAAGTGCTTGTACAGTGTAGGTGCAGTAATAAAATTTACATACTGAGTTGATCACACTAAGTTAGTTCAGGGTGGATTTATAATTTGAATTGATCTAAATAGTATGGTCTTTGATCAGTTTTAGGCATAATTATGCCAATATGGTTATTATTTTGCTTTCCTACCTTGCCATTCTGTCATAAGATTCACACCTTGAAATACAGTGAAATCCCAGTTTTTCAAACCTCCAAGGGAAACAAAAACTGGTTTGAAAAATCAGATAGTTCAAGAAATCGGAGGTAAAATAAAATTACAGTCTGTGGCCTACTTAGGGGAGGGAAATGATTTTTGGATTGGAAAGTTCAGAAAATTGAGCGTTTCAACTTTGGCATATCAGTAAATTTCACCTTAGTATTATTGGCAGACACTTCCGTTGTGCTGTTAATTTACATGCTCGTATTTGAATTAATTGTCCTGAGTGTTTCCTTTCCCACTTCAAACTTACAGGGTTGTTGCTATAAAGAATTACTATCCAAGAATTCGACTTATTATTCAGTTACTTCAATACCAGAACAAGGTGAGCTTCTGGGATTTGTCTTCAGTTCAATCAATGTCTTTACATCGCAGATTTTTTATCTTTATTCTTGACTTTATATCCTTTCACTTTGCAGTCGTACCTGCTAAATATCCCCTCATGGAATCCTAAATGTGGGGATGATGTAGTCTGCATCAGTGAGGTACTAACTCCATTTTTGTCGTCATTTGTAGTGAGTGTAAATTAGCATGGATTGTTAATAGAAAAGTGGAAAATTCGGAATGGTCAAGTTAAGACACAATTATTGTAAGCTCCAATTAGCTTGCAGAGGTGATTTATCCATTTATTTCCAACTGATGAGCTACACCTGGCCCTATCCCCCACTCAGGGGCAAGGAACTAAGATGAGCTACACACACGAAATGAAAATGCACAGTTCTAAAGCAAAACAATATAATTCTGACTAAAGCACACTGAAGAGAAACAAATTGAAATAAAAGTGATGTAAACAAAATTAATGCAAAATAACATAAAGTAAGTACCTCATACAGTAGAAGATTCGCCACATGTAAGAAATAAACTAATATTAAATTAATATACAAACTAGATCGTACAATTATTAGCATCCTCCACCATCACAAAGTAGTATGATATTATCCAAGGTAGTAATCACCATCATTTTTCTTTTCCTCTACCAGCTCAAGTTGGGATTTATTGCACAAAGCTGCCTGTCGCCTGGATTCTCAACATTGTTGGCCAATGTTTTTTCAATGCGTTCTAATGACACAGTAAGTTGTAAGATTTTCCTCTGTTGTAACTTTATCTTAGTTCTTGCATTTTATAATGTAAGGTTAAGTCTGTGCTATATAGGAGCCAATTGCAAGTGGCTCATCAGGCTGGCACTAATAGATCCCTGGTTTCTGTAGCATGAAGCGATTAGGGGTATTCCTACTCCCCCAGGATGGGATGCTAGTCCATCGTAGATTTATTCCCAGCATTGAATTTGCCAGTACCCATTTATACACCTTGGTGGAGAGAGGCATTGTGAAAGTAAAGTGTCTTGCCCAAGAAAACAGCACACTGTCCCTGGCCATCATGCTCAAACCCGGACTGTCTGATGCGGAGACAAGCACGCCAACCACAAGGCCATGCACTGTTCCTCAACCCACATAATGTACCTTACTTGAAATGTTGTGCAATGATTTTGAGAAAGTTTGAGAGAACTAAAAAAAGTTGTGGAAACAGTGACCTGGACGTCGTGCTCCTGCTGCATTTCTCATGCTCACTAAATGTCTACCCTGAAAATAGCAAAGTAAGGGCACATGTAGGCTTACAGGCACAGAATGCACACAAAGCAGGGATTTCATTAAGGGCTGGGCACTGGGCAAATTGGCCAGCTTTGAGAATGATTTTGCCTGTCTGGATTGACCATCTAGAGGAATTTTCTTCTTATAAATAAGTTCAGTTCAAAACAATTTGCTCGCCTGTGAAAACCAGTTGCCCTCCTGTTGAAAGCATTAATGAAACCCCTGACAGAAGTGACAGTCTTAGGAGGCTACCAAAAAATGTACAGGGAGCCCAGAGTATTACCAGCCTACAGGTGAAGCTAAGGCTACCAAGCTTGTGGAGATTTTAAATCCCTTGGTGGTAGTGTAATTTACTGTGCATGTAGGTAAACATAATTATGTGGTATTTTGCTTTTTTTCCAGACGGATGTCACTGAGTCTGACTTCTGGCAGACTTATTACATAGAAGGTGCAAACCTTGAAATGTACACGGAGACACTTTCCATTTCATTCAAGGGAATGGGCTATCAACAAGTTGCTGAGTGAGTTTACGTCATAATTTAGATTGCGGCATACTTACTTATATTGAACCTGATGTACATGTAGACAAATGTAATGTCAGGTTAAGTCTACCTGTATTTGGCCATTGTGTCTTGAGCATACATGTAGATGCCCAAGGTTATCCCAGCATCTGGAGCATGTGGTGACTATGTCAAGTGTTTCTCGTCCTCTTTGGATGATTTGTAGTCCATTGTAAGGTTACAATGTACCCTCTACAGTGAATTTACCTGTACAGATGTGCATACAGGAGAAACCTGTTAATCCAGTCATTCACAGGCCACAAAAATCTGGCCGTATTAAAGGGGTTCTTTTAAATAAGAAAATGGCTGACTGAGCTTTTGCTTGGGCCAGAATAAAGTAGCCATAGTAACAAGGGGGCTGTGTAAACAGGAGGGCCGTATGGCAGGATTGTACTGTATACACGTGGATGGAGGGAACACTGGTTTTAGGAGGTGGGGGAGGTATACACGATATATCCTGTGTGTCTGGCTATGGTGCATGTACTTGTATTCTCTTCAATGTATTTATTTTTTAAAACCATTTTGCTGTAGACCTGTTGAAGTGTCAAGTTAAACTTAGGTAAAACTTTTCTTAGTTGTTGCAACACTCATCTGGAATCTAGACCTTATTGAAAACTAGTGGGATTTAAGATAGTACAGCTAGACTGTAGAACATCAAATTATCATCTAACAAGTTTTTGTTGTCGGATACATGCTTCTATTGTAGTGACAGCAAGTTCGTGTTTTTTGCAAATAGTAATGCAGCTGTTGTCTGATTGACAGGATTTGTTTTGGAAAGCTTGGTCTTCTTCTTATTGCAATAGAAACCATTAAACCTGATGGAGAAAAGATGTAAGTAATTTTCCATAGATGTGGCATATAAGGCATACTGTCAAACCATTCCCTCAGAACACTTGATTACACTTTATGAGTGTTGTAATGTAGACAAACTTCATATGATTGTTACTAAAAGCTAGTTCAATGACAGCTGGCAACTGGCAAACTTACCCATCTGTATCAAGCAACTTTACTTGGGTTTGCCTGCTGCTTTCTCTGAAATTGACGACATTCTAGGCAAGGTTCTAGAACTATTGTCAGCTGCCAACAGTACAATACTTTCTATTTTTATTTCATCTACAAGGAATGACAAATATGCTGCTCATTACAAGACACTGCAGCAAAATTCTATTTTTGAACATCTTGGAAACATTGCCACCCCTTCCTCCCAAACAATGTTAAGCTTTCTATTTCTAAGACTGCGCAGACCACAGCACCTATGCACACAACATTGAATTGGGGGGCTGAGGGTATTGGAGAATTATTGCTAAATGTAGTTGGAATAGAATAAGCGGTTACATTTCGCAAAGATAAATAAGCTGATCTATGTAATGTTGTGTTACTGAGTAGATATTATTTTAAATTTTTTTTAAGATTCGCCATCAATCCACTGGATAAGACCATAGAACAAAGAACGCGTGGTTACTTTATAGCGGGTTCTTCCACTGAAGTTAAGAGGTATGAGAAATATTTCAAATTTAATTTGATAAAAAGGGTACGAGTAATAGAGAGGTACAGTGAACCTATACAGATGACTTGAAATTTTATTTTATAGTTTATTAATTTTTTTTACTGATAATCATATCTTTTTTGGTTTTTAATGAACCATGCCCTAAATAATTTTTTTTCGGATGCTACAGTGTTGTATGTTGATATTCTCGAAGTTAAAAATATAGTACACACTTTTGAGAGTTTGAAAAAAATAAATCCTTGTAATTAAGATGTATGTCAGTATTACTTTGTATTACTTTTTACTTTTTTTTATTACTTTCTAGAGTATTACTTTTTTTGAAAAGGGGACAGATGGGGGGAAGGGGATAATCGCATGTTGGCACGCATCTCCCATTCCCTTTCTCTATTCATTAATTTACCCCCCCCCCCCCTTTCATGCATTCACCACCTTCTTTGCAGATTTTGCAAGCTTTGCCGTTTTGTGGTTGAAGATTTCTTTTTGTGCATTATTTCTAGGGCATTCTACTATTGTTTAACTTGCCATGCAGATGTGAAATGCCCTGAGCTTATCAAAGAATGTGAATGCTCCAAAGGTACAAAGATGCAGTATTAAACAGCGCTACATTTGTCTCATAGTTACTATTAATAGTAACTGTTGTTCTTAATTAATAAAGTCATGATACATACTAGTAGATAAATTCTGACTTACATGTAAGTCAAGTACTGAGGATTCCATTACTAGACATTTCACTGGTGGAATTAACAGTGCTATAAATTAATTCAGTTGATTATCATGTAAAACGATCCAGCAGGACTAGAAATCACAGGAATCACAGGTGAAAATTGATAATCATTCCCAAGTGAAAACTAAACAAGTTGGCAATTTTTGGCTTATTCCACCATGTTTGCAGGCACTATACATGTACTCCTTTATCTACTCTTACTACTAGTCAGCACTGCAAGGACAGGTCTCTTGTCTTGCCTTTTTGCACTCAGGGAGTAAGCTACCAGCAGGTTGGGCACTGGCAAATTGAATGTTGGGGGTAATTAGAATCCTGCAATGGACCATCCAGGGGGAAGTAGATTTATTTTGAGTGGACTTGTGCCTCTGAAAACATAGATAAACACTAACCTGATGTGCCACTAGGTTCAAATAGAGTCTTAAACTTGCCTGGATCCTATGTGGGGCAAGGAAATGGTAAATACCCATTGGCCTTAAGTGACACCTAGTAACAAATCAGATGGGTGAAGGTGAAGGACTTTTGATAATTTATAGTATCTCGTAGAGTTCTTACACCATGGGATATATCCTTACATGTACATGCTTATATGTCTTTACAGGCTTAAAGGGCATCACTCAGAATCTAGGGTGCTATTATTGACATATCATAGCATTTGATGAATCTTTTCATTGTACATGTAAACATGACTTGTGCGTTAATCTCATCATGTCTTTTTCCGTACAAGGGAAACAGCTGGGCCTTGCATTAATCTCATGCTATGCAGCAATTAATTACTTAACTTTGCTAAAAATTCTCTGGTCTTTTAATGTCGCCTGAATTAACACTCTGTCTCTTTTGGCACCAGTCAATTTGAACACCCAATGGAAATATTTCTGATGATCTGAACTGACAGCCCTAGTTATTCAAAGCATTGGATAAAATATCCTTTGTCATGTCTAAATCGTTATCCAGTGGACCGTATACTTGTTTCTGTTAAGAGGTATCTCTGGATAGTAATCACATGTAATCTGAGACGGGAGCTTCGATCTTCCCGCCATTTTTGACCATCTGTTGTAACGTGATTAAACAATTTGCATTCACGTGACAACGTGAGCTCATTTTAATCGCTGATGAAGACTGTGCGATACAGTCGAAAGCTTCGTTTACAAAATGTTTCAGACCTTGTGACAAGAATAATTGTTCGTGTACATGTAATCTGGTTTATAGCATCCTAGATATCTTCCACTGAACAACTGGCAGTGGGGATTTTTGTTACACCCTAAATTTCAAAAGAAATGGCTTCCCTCTCAACAAACCCGCCAATGCAGAAGTGGCGGTAAAACATCTCTGTTCTCATGTATTTTTGGCATGCATTATCCTTTTCAAGCCTATGTTAGTATAGGTTTGAAGATTGATTCTTTCAAATGGTTCTTAAAAACGTTATCTAAAACGCTCGGATCAGCCCATATTTTCCGCATCTAAAAATTTTCTAATTTGCTACTCTGAAAGAGCCAATAGCAAAATGCTGCTAAATCTGGGAGTCACGAGAATCTTTACAATACGTTCTCTGATTGATTCTTTTTCTTTTAATAATTGCATTTCAAGCAGTGAGATTTTGTTCCTGAAATCCTTTGCTCAACTGGAAAAGTTAAAACTATGCAAGTTGATAATCGGCATGAGACATTTGCAGATTGTAGACTAACCCTAACCAAAAACTAACTCTAACCTTGACACTAACCCTTAAACCAACCCTATATTAAATGCTAACTAAAGTTTATTGTGGTCTGCAGGCTGCCAATTAATCGTGTCACAAATTCTTATAATCAACTAACCAGATAACAGATCTCAATACTGAACATTATTAACATTTCATAGTGGAATTTGTCTCAAACCCGGCCACTGGTCTCCCCTCTACCAGGGGTTCAAAGATGGTGCCCAAAGAGATACATTTCATTAACTCTGCTACAAGCTGCTATTAATGCTTTATTAAAGCCATAAATAAGTTAAAATGCAGTTCATTGCCATAATTATACTAACCATTCAATACCTTCATTAATCAAAGGAACTCTCACTTTCCGTGGATTAGGAAAAGCTGTGCTCATCTCTGCCGGTGGTGCTGGAAATAGTTAGTATCTTCCTTAACCTCTAACTTGCATTTACGTAAAATAACGTAACAATCAACTACGCTGACTAACAACATTTCATCTGAGTAATTCTTCTTTGTCTCCTGTGGTGCAAGTTTTGTGCTGAACGATGATTTCTCTTCTATTTTCCACGACAATGACTTTATCAATTAATGACTCTTTAGCCATTTTTGTATCATATGTAATTTACACACATGAGTAACCTTTAACAAATATAGTCTTCAAAATGATGCACTGAGTCTTGACAGGTCTGCAGGATCTGTCAGGAAAGTAAAACTATGTCATATTTGTTCATGCTGTTGTTCGCAAATCATGTACATTGAATGATCAATTGCTTTGCAAGTGCTTTACTGTACTTGGACAAGTCAGAAATATTGGAACTGGGACACAACTTTTAACATCATTTTGCAATACCACCACTTCCCCATTCAGTTGAGGCTCCATTGGAGAGGGGGGTGGGAGATCCGAGTATTCCTTATGATTTTTGGCCTAGACATCCCTCATCTCTCTAATTTCAGTTGCAAACATTAACGACTTTCCTACTCTACGTTCCATCTTTATCTGATCTAAATACTGAAGCTCATTTGCCATTAAGCATAACCATATCCCCTAAATTCCTCGATCCCGTTATTTTTTTTTTTACCTAAATATCTTGATCCTGAAAACCCCTAACAGGGCCTGTCGATGTCCCGCTGTGAGGCCGTGCCCAGTATTTTATTCCAGTTTGGACCTCTAAACATGATATGTTTTTGTTGGAAACTTCTTATAACTTCTTCACTGCAGATACTGGAGTTTGTCTTTGAACCTGTCTTTTTCCATCTTGATTTGACAGTAGAATTGTTAGAGCAAAGTTAATTGTTTAAATTGGTGCTCTATCTTATCCTACCAGTCGTTGCCATTGTTTTTGTACACGAAAGCTTCTGACTTTTTATTGCTACTTAAGTGACCATTGAATGGTCAGTTTTCTTCCATCTACTGATTCCCAGCTAGCCTTTGCACCATAAATAGGCAGTGTGTAAGTCATGGAAACCTAGTTTGGGTTACATAAAGTACAAGTCTCATGGTCTCATTCATTTTGCGTTTCTTTGTACTTCACACCTAATGTAATACACACAAACATTGCCAAGGAAGGTGCTAAGGGTGTCCAAAACACACCTGCAAGTTCTTTTAGTAGATAATATCGTCATTTTACAAACAAAACTAAGTAATGAGAACCAAAATGTGCTGGTCATGCTACATGTGAGTCAGCTGATTGTACCAAGAACTAAAATCAGCTCTTGTATGGTAGCTTCTACAACTGTAAGTCGGAAGGCGCGGTGGCCTCGTGGTTAGTGCGCTCGTCTCCGGATCAAGCGGTCCGGGTTCGAACCCTGGCCGGAGACATTGTGTTGTGTTCTTGGGCAAGACACTTTACTCTCACAGTGCCTCTCTCTACCCAGGTGTATAAATGGGTACCGGCGAGCTTAATGCTGGGGGTAACCCTGTGATGGACTAGCTTCCCATCCAGGGGGGAGTAGAAATACTCCTAGTCGCTTCATGTTACAGAAACCGCGATAAGCTCCGGCCTGATGGGCCACTTGGCTCGTATGCAGACTTTACCTTTACTTTACCTTACAACTGTAAGTATTAGGCCAGGTCAAGTTTTCAACAACTTGTTTTATTCAGTCACAAAGTCGTGAAATGAATGCACAGCCTAAAACAACTGCGCGAAATGCCATTATTATTATTATTATTATTATTATTATTATTATTCTTATTAAAACAATTTGACCCACCTCTCCCCTTTTTTCTGTTAGTATATAGAGCTCAATATGCTCAATCCATTCGATCACGACTTAAGCTAGGGTTGATACTCTTCTAGAATGCCCTTGTGTGATTTTTTGAATATCGTTTTACATCAATTGTGGGGTGCATAGTAATGTATGCTGTGATAGCATAAATTTCATCATCACTGTTTCAGTTTTGGCTATAATCACTCTAGGAAAGCTATAGACTGATAAGTTACTAACTTTGCACTTTTGTTTGATTTATAGCACTGTTAATTTCACCATGAGCACTTGCACCTTTGGTTTCTTTGATTTGCACAAAAATTTGTATTAGCAAACAGGGTTACTGGGGTTTCAGACTTGTGTTCTGTGGTCTTTGTGTTTGGGTCAGAAATTGATCCCTGGTCGTTGATGTACTGTATGGACGTCAAGCTTGATCCCTAGCTTTCATGGGGAATACTGACAGACAGACAGAAAGACAGACACACGGTCAGACAGACAGACAGAGAGACAGACAAACACACGGTCCGACAGACAGACAAGCGGTTAGACAGTCAAACAGAGGGACCTACAGAAAGACAGGCGGCCATGTCTGATTTAGTTTGTTTTCATTAAAAGTTGCTTTAATTTGTTTATTTAAGAACACAAGTCAGATGTTCAATTAACAGGCTTAGTCAACCATGCTGTTCATCATGATTCAGCACATTTGTCTTTCGCTCCAGAAGGCAAACTGCGAAATGGGAAGACATCAGGCAAGTTTGAGTGGTAAATGATTTTGGTAATTGTCATAACTCTGGCTCACAGAGAAGGATTATCTTGACGTTAGGTTGTCGTGTATCGACTAGAATTAGAATGGGTTTCACAGTGGCCATGCTGTTCACAATTGTTTTCAAAAATGGTACTTGTGAAGGGAAAATTTTCTGGCCAAACAGGACTGACCTGGGGCGATTAAAATTATTCAAAAATGATCATTTGCTAAAGAAACTGTTGTGCTACATCGGTGGGCAAGAAAGACACCAAGAGTGCGTTCCTTCGGGATGATCTGGATCGGAGATCCAAGATTACTCTTACAGACCCATGGTGTATGAACGGCCCAATGAATCCTTGTCCAGATTCGATTTATTGGTTCCTTTGATGTACCTGATTCAAGATCACTTGGATCGTGTTGTTTTAAAGAGTAAAGACCGCAATAAATGGTTGTCCAGAGTAGATTCATTGGTTCCTTTGATGCACCATAATTCAGGATCACTCATGCAGATCATGTTAAATCAAAGGCCCTGACAAATCATTGTCTAGAGTGGATTCATTGGTTCCTTTTATGCACCATGATTCAGGATCCCTCGGATTATGGTACACTGACAGACTGCATGAATTCTCCTCAAGAGTGGAAGCGTTGGCTCCTTCGATGCACCATAATTCAGGATCAATAGGATCATGTTGAATCAAAGGCCGCAACAAATCATTGTCTGGAGTAGATTCATTGGTTCCCTTGATGCACCATCATTCAGAATCTCTCGGATCATGGTGCATCGACAGACTCTATGAATTGTTGTCAAGAGTGGAATCTGATTTCTCTGTTGCACCATGATCCGGGATCACTCAGATTTTGGTGTATCGACAGCCCCGACAAATCCTTTCCCAGAGTGGATTCATTGGTTCCTTTGCTGCGCCAGAACCCGGATGATCTTTGATCACAAAGCCTGATCCAGATCATCCCAAAGGAACACCCCTTATTAAACGTAAGGAAAAGTTCGTTATGGAGAGTGACCCTCCTGCCAGGGACAATGTTTGTTCATATAAACAGACCCTTAGAAGCTAAAGTGGTCCATTATTGAACCAGATTTTCTCCTTGAGATGGATCGTGCTGGGATGGGCTATTTAGAAGTGCCATCCAGGCATACAGTAAGAAACGGTAAAAAACGTCCGGTGTCTTGTAATGCCAACATGTAAACCTAAATTAAGTCCAATTGTAGACAGTTGTTTTGAGCTTCTACTAGTTTTTAGCACTTGCACTGTTATTTTCTGCGGCAATAAGAAATTCCTTTCACCTGCACTGATTACACAGCTAACTCCTAAGGTTAATCAACACATCATTTTTCCTTTCAACATCAGTTCATTATCAGGCTGCTGGCAGATGGATGTAGTAATCAGTCTTCATTGTATTAAAAAATGTTTTGTAGGGGTATTCGATAAACGGGTTTGAAGTTACTCAGTTACAGTGACATCTTGGGGGACCATGATAGAATCATGGAGTATCTGGGGTTTTTTCAAAGTAGTATAGCATGAATGGAGTAGACGTAACGTGGAAGCCTAAAACCTTCTTACAAGCTTCTTACGTTCAAAAATTCAGAATACACAGGTGTCCCTTTCTATTTCCAAAAAAAGGTAGGTTTTACTGTCTAAGTTTGTGTAATAAGCCCACGTAGTAGTGGAAAATACTTGAAGTTGTCATGCAGTTTTGTCTAAGAAGTTCTTGTGAATGTGCTGTGTACCATCGCTGAATACAGACATGTGTTCCGTTAGGATGGTATTATTTTTGTAGTGTGTAATTTTCCGGATGAGATTAGTCTGGAGAAAGGGAATCCAGCTTCATTTAGTACCGCTATGATGCCATTTCAAACCTCACACCTCACAATAAACTGCCCTTTCGTCAACGGAGTCAAATGGCTTAAATTGTTTCAGGCTTCCTCTGCAACTTTACAAGTCGTTTCACGACAGAAAAGATCTTGTTTTCTTAATTCTGCCCATCTGCATGATATGATCGCATAAAGCAACATCATTGACTCGAATATTTGGTGTGGAATGGCTTATTCTTTGTAATAAAATTTCGCCAATAGCTTACCTTAGCAAGGAATGGCCTACCATGCCATGCTTTATTTCAGTGATCCTTATTGCATGGGTGGAACATTTGATGGTTAGGAATAGTAGTGAAACTGTGAGGGTGCGTTACCTCAGAAACACTGTGGTTTCTCTGTTGTGTGAAGCTTGAGACATGCATAGATCGCTGCCCAATCGACAATATTTTGTTGTTGTGGAAAAGTGCGAATACCTAACAAATTAGAAGACTGAATTGGAACGTACGGACAACTAACCATGGCGAAGATGAAATAGAGTGCATTATAAACTTACAAACTCTTGCGTTTCACTGTCAGTCTTGGAAAGTGTGTCTTGGAAAATATCAAATTGTTGTTTGAGTTACGTAATAGAAGCCAAACATGTGGAAATTTCAGTTGGAGGTCTGCAAAATGTGGGAATTCTTGGCGGGAATCCACAGTACCCTCGAGTACCCATTTTAACCGGTTTTGAAGAATAGATATTCAGTAAGATCGGGTTTGTGTGGGAAGCCCAGACATTTTCACTTCAGCATTTTACAGTCCATTCCATTGTTATCACTGACAGTTGCATTTTCTTCCATGATGGAAAGGTTGCCGCTCCGTTTACCGAAGAATACCACTCATGCCATCCATCATCACAAATTCACTTTGGCCAATCATTTTCAAAACTGAGACTGTCTCGAGCTCTCTTTAACTTTGATTCTTAGATCGACCAAGCAGAAATGTTGGTAGCAGTGAAAGGAACGTGCTACACGTTGGTACAACTTGGAAGTCAGAAAATGCATCTCTTAGTGAAACACACATAGATGTGGAAGAATGTAAGCAGTTCTTAGCCAGAGGAACATACACAAGAATGATTACTTAAACACACAATTTCAGCCACTGCTTATCTTGGTCTAGTGAAATAGGGGAGCTGGCAGAGGCTTTCAAGCCTACCAACTCTTGGAGTAGATAAACTTCTGGAGATACGTGTACCTGGGATTCAACTAAAAGCGTTCAGACAACTGAGTAAAAGTGCCTGATGTTATTTTACGTGCTCAAAAACTGAAAGCGATTTCTCTTAGAACCAAGTGTCTATAGTGTTAGGTGTTAGATTTACTATTCACAAACCGTCGTGCTAATCCTTTACATTCGGTCGTTTTGTCCTTGTCATGTAGTCAAAACAGTGGATGCCAGGCTTTCATTCGCTTTACCAAACAAACCCGGAGGAGAAGCCAAACAAGGAACGTACAAGGTTTTACATAAGCTTAAAGCGTAAGTACGCTATGGTTTGTGAGGATGTTGATAAAGTGTATAGTGGTCTGTTGCGTTGACTGAATTCAAAAACTGCGTGACAAGTTTCTGGCATGGCCCGGTCTTTAGGGATTTTACTTTTGTCAAAAAACACCCAAGATCTTTCCCAACAAATGTTAAAGTTGCTATAAAATAGGCACTTGTCTTGTATCTTTTATTTAGTTTAAAAGAGCAACAAGCAATCGACTGTGAAAAGAAGCCCTGTTTCGACATCTCAGGAACCTTCTACTGGTGTGCGCCAACACGATTTGAAGACGTCTTGTTGGTGAGTTTCCCTTATGTTTACGGTGATGAGCAGTTGACAGTGTGTTTATAATGTCCAAATCTTGTGACCCATGTCCACAGCTCGATAAAAGGTTTGAAAAACGATAGAAGTCGAGACCATTTCTTTACTTCTTTGCAGTAAAATGTGCCATACTGAATGAGGCAAACGTTGCAGTGTTGGATTGGAATCTTTTTCAAGGATTTCAGCCTGAAATGCTTTAACTAGCTTCTGTAGGGTCGAGTTAGCGTCTTATTTCTCAAAATCGGAATTTTGGGGGTATCCGTTAGTTTTTTTTTTTTTCCTATTATATCAAGCAATCTTAGATAATTGTAGATTGAATTGCAAATTATCCATAATGGAACTGTATAGTTCTGCTTGGTATCTGACTGATGTAGTTTTACAGAGTGCATGCCATTGAACAAACTATAGGAATTTATCAGTCTCAATTTCCTTAATGGAACAAGTCATCGAAAAACAGCGCATAATACTTTGTGGTGAAATGCAACTCATCCTGTCGACACAACATTATTTGTGTCTTGTGCTGTAACTGAAGTCATATCGGTCGCTGACATACACAGGAAGCAACGATAATGAACATTATTCTTCCATTTCTGTCTTGTTTCCATGATAGTTTTTTTTTTTTTTGGTTTTGGTAGACACGAGAGGAGGCCTTGAAGATCGTCTTTTCCCACCATATACTTGTTTGTGTGTTCAATGAAAAAGACGCTCCGCTTTTGGGGTTGAGACCGTTGGTAAGTTTAATCAATCTGGGCTTTCTTCTAATAGTTAAGTTATCGGAAGTCAACGCAAAAGCGCAAGTTTGGGTGGAGTTGCTCGAGCAAAAACTTCTTTAGTTTCCTTTGTTTCCTCGAGATGTCACGAAATAGTAAACTGGTTGTGGCGGTCAGGGATAATAATAAGTTGTCGTTCTTGTTCCGTAACAAAATTTATGTTAGTTTCCATTTTGAACACTTTGTTGTATTTTGGCGAGCCTCCAAGATGCGTTGAGACGTGAAGACAATACGTTGTTGCTGCGCAGTTAATTATCTACAATAGAAAGTTGATTATCCGCTTACATTTTTTTTTCAAATAATCCAGACTATCAAGTTTTGAATTGTGCATGGTTAAGGTCACGGAACTGAAAAACGTGTTTTACCGGTCTGCTTCAGTACAAACATTGTGTAATCAGATTTGTTTCGTTTCTTGCACGCGTTATTTGTTGCTGTACACGACTGACGATTATAGCTAAGCAGTAGGTATTAATACACCTTTTCATTAGTACTCATGACTAAGAGTTCAGGTATCACGATTTCACACAGGTTATACCATTAAGAGCCAGCAACCTTCTGCAAAGTGAGCTGAAGAAAATCGTATTCCTTGGAAATAAGGAATACATGGAGAGAGAGGTACTGTAAAGCACTTTATACGTGTGTTGATCATAGATTGCTTATTTTCCTCTTTGCCGTAAAATTGTCTCGAACCAGGTTTCGTTTCCGCTGGAAGTTTGATAAATTGGGATTCAAATGTATTGTTGCTTGGTCGGTGTCATTGGCTGGAATTTATGTTGCCTGTGGTTCATTTCGTACGAGATCATTATGCGGCACGAACCGTCAGCCACAGACTTAAAATTCTGAGGTCTCCGTTTGTGTAGATACTGTTGCTGACGGATGACAGTGTTGTCGAAATCGCTTTTCCTTAGCTGTTCGGTGGTCAGATACTCTTAGTTATCCATACCTATTGCAATTTGGTCTTAAGGTGTTAAAGGGCCTTCAGCTCTGTTGCTACGTCGAAACAGTATCCCCAGTTGATGATTTTCGTTATTCTTGTCTCTTGTTTGCTTGACACTGTATTGATTTTTGAAGGAGAGTCTAGATTTTGGTCACTCTGTGATTTAAGAATGGACTGTTTGTTTTAATCCTTCTTTCGTTTGTTTATTCACAATCGTTTGTGTTCTGTCTTCGTAACGTGACTTTTAATGCTTGTTGAAACTTTTCAGTGGCACCAGCTGTGTAATTTTGAAGATGTGTTTGTTTTACCGGTGAGTAGCTTACTGAATTTCCTAGAGTTATTGGCTCTATTGTTACCAACATGACTTCTTTCCGAGAGGCATTGCCATTTAATACGATGAGAGATTATCTTGATATTGTGAGGCTATGTTAGTCAGTAAGTTATAGCGAAAATAAGTAGTAACTTTATTTAAGTATCAGTCTGAAATAGCAGTAATATAATCACTAAATGGGGACACTAACATAAAAATAACAAGATCTAGATATTATCTTATGTTTAAAAGCTAATTTAAAAAATTGACAATATTAAAATATAACTGAATTAGCTAAAAATGCGTAACATGTAGAAGATAAAAATACATAAAGCGGTGGCGGATCCAGACCTTGAGCTAAGTTGTGGGGAGGGGGCAGTTTTGTTTTGCTTGCCCTTCCGGCTTTTGTTCCTTCTACGATTTCCTCCTTGTTTTACTCAAAATAGGGTGGGGGGGNGGTCGGGCTCCCCAGGCCCCTCCCGTAATCCGCCACTGTAAAGGACATTAATAACCACATAAGATGCCATTAGTACCACAACCATCAGTCAAAATATCCAAGTCTAGTTTGCGAATGTTTTTCCTAGAAGCTGACAATGTCGATGAACTCCTAGTATTCCTTGGTATGATTAAGATGCCATACGTAGGTCCAGTATATTGGATAGTAATAGCGTTCCACAATACGTGATTGTAAAAGGTAACGATAAAGCATTTGTATCATGTTATAGGGTTCTCCTTTCTGTCGAGCGGATCTGCGAGCTGTTAATGCAAACTTAGCAGATATGGTCGTGTTCCTCTCGCCTTCAACGGCCAGCAAAGCCGACGACCCGAAGTTAGCCGATAAGGAATCGATTTTGGCGTCGCTGAACCTGAAAGCCATGTCATTTGATGATGCAGTTGGCATGCTCAGTGAGAATACACGGAACGCTTTTGCGGGACTGGAGTTTAATGAATTACCTCAGGTGGAAAGACGAGGCTCAGCGTATGGCTGTAATATTCCAATAATCACTGAAGTTGGTGAGTAGTCATGGCAGCACTATGCATATCTTACCTTAAAACCCCAAAAAGGTTGAGACCCTTGAAAGGAACGTCCCGCTGATAGTAACAAATGCCTTTTATTTCCTTAATAAATTACTTGACGAGAACAACTTCCCGCAGCATTGAACATCACATCAGACCGAATAAAACAACTTCTGGAGTAAACAGTGAGCTAGTCCAGCTCTGACCATAGCGAGAGCGTAGCGTTGCGTGACAGAGAGAGGTCCAGTTATACCTGAAGTAATGTGCAATAAACGTGAAAGGCAAAGACTGATTCCTTCGAATTGTTGTTCAAATCTATTTCATTAAGCTGGATATTTTGTTAGATGTACTGGTTTCAAGCACCCGAAAGGCTCCCAAGCATATTTAGATCCTTAGAAAGCAGTGGCGGGAAAAGCGCACTAAATCCAAAAGTAGCAATGAAAGAAGTTTGTTAAAGGCTTAAGGGAATTATGCAGAGGTGGATACAGACGTGGTGTGGAAGGATCGGGTCCTTTTCAGCTTTTGTTATCTTGCAAGAAGTAATGTAACTGTAGCCAACGCACCGGCAATAATTTAGGTCGTAAAGAAGTTTAATGCAGTTGCCAACAACTCGAACTCTTAACTTAATTTTACATAACAATGCCAGTGGTTTCTAGAATAAAGGTAACAAACATAATGCATTAAGAGCGGAAAGCTAATAACAACAGTGGAAATAACATAGGAAATACGAGACAAACGAAGACAGAGGACATTACCTGACGATTTGGGGATACTGCGAACGAAATAGCATAAAGAACGTAACGTTGTTATAACTGGTGAACTCGAGCGATTTTCATAACCCGTGCGAAGGTAGAACTATTTATGCTTAGCCGCGCGGACAGAGGCTAGGCGGGGGATTAGTTTCTACAATAACAAGAACGAAAGATCGGGTTTGACCACATTTCCAAACACCGCGAAGAGAGTTGAAAATACGAGGAGTAGTGGGGTATCTTTTTCGAACTTCGAGTTATTTGGAAATGTGGTCAAACACTGTCTTGAGTGTTAGATATATCTTCTCAATCGAAACTTAAAACTAAGGAGAAAACGGAGAAATAAAATCGTAGAAATCTATGCTAATTAAGATCAGATATCCAAACACCGTCACGTCCATGGGACATGACTTCCTTTGTTTAAGCTTGATGAATAATTAATGAGAAGTTCATTTAACTCAGCGTGCAAGAAACTTTTACCCTTTTTCTGTCACACATTTGTTTTTGTTTTTTGTTTTCTCTTTCTTTGTGTGGTAGCTTTTGACCAGAATGTGCAGTACTTGGACATCGATGATGAAGATGATGACGACCTTGAACTGTACCTGACTCAGCCGTTTGCTTGTGGTACAGCCTTTACAGTCTCCATGTTGGACTCTCTGATGAGCGCCGTGAGTTGTCATTCTTATGGCCTTCTATGGTCTTACTGCTGTCCTCCCCGAAAGAAAGAATCTGAGAGAGCGACTGTGTGTTATCTCTGCATAACCCTAGTTAATATGGCTGCGTTACGCCATTTCGTTGACAATTTGATAAATAATGAAACAATTAGCCTGCGGAAACGTACGGAATGTCAGTTTATTTAAGTTTAGAGTTTATTCAACACGGCCTTCAACTTCGTTGGTTAAGTATCGAGTGGTATTCAATGACTTCAGTGTTATTTCTCAGAGTTAATGTTGCTCATTACCAAGTTTACCTCCTGATTCATCCGGAATATTCTCTCCAACACTGTCTATGACCACGTCAACTTATTTTCAGCCAATATTCTGCACCATCCTCCTTGATCTAATCTTCATGATGCTAAATGTTATATTACCAGCTGGGAAAGATGTTTAGAATTAAGGCCAGCTACTTTTCATTAGTGATCCCTTCCTACAATCTCTTGACCTTGCTCGAAATTATACATTGCCGTTGTGAGTAGGAAACCATCGTTGATATCTGTATTCGCTTTTCAGTCTTACTTCAACCCAGACGTTCTTACTCTTGTACGGAATCTTGTAACCGGAGGAGTAAACCAATTCTTGGAAGAGCATATCGCTGAGGGGGACGAGCTCCGAGGAGGACTGGACGCGGCACAGACAGCAGACACCAGAAGCCGGTGTAAAATTCTGCAGATGTCGCTGTTTGATGGTCCACTTGCACATTACGGGGTAAGTCTTTTACGANCCCCCCACCCCCCCTCCTCGGCTTTAAGTTTTTCTTCCTGGGTAGTGTGAGTTTTCAGATATTGCGCTTCTCGCGTGTACATTCTCGCTTCTCGCGTGTAAATTCTCGCTTCTCGCGTGTAAATTCGCGCTTTTCGCGTGCAAAAGATATGTGTGATTCGGCTTCCAAATATCCACGCCGGTAGCAGCTCCACAGAGAGTTATGTGTAGTCTCTAATTGGTTTTGGATTTTCGAGATAAGTAACAATAATTCTGAGACTGAATGAACAGAACAGCTGTAGTTCTTTGGTTGAGTCTACAGAATAAGATCCAAATTAGTAATATCGTGCGATTCAAACTTATCTTGTAAGAATCAGACAAGATCTGCCCTCAAGCAAAGGTATTTAATTAATGCTGCATTCTTTTCTTGGTTATTTCTTATCCGTAACTTAGAATAGACGTTAAATTAGGGGAAAGCCCACGAAGTTCGAGTTTGTCATTATCAATTGCAATTCCCCAACAGAGGAAATAGGGTTTATGGTTTGAGTTTCTAGTTCGAGTGAAAGTGTCGAGTTGTTATTTTAACTTTAACTTTGGATAGCGCTCCGGTTAACCTGATACATTTTAGCCGTACTTTGATCTCCCTGACTAAATCCTTGGTAAGCATGAGAGTGGTGTCAGCTTTAGTTTGTATGTGAGGATTAAACTGCGCTATGTAGTTTAAAAGTTGTTCTTATTCTGTTAAATGTACAGTTTCGTTCCTTAGACACCACAGAGTGATAACAATTTTTGTAGAAATTCCACCCAAAATGCCACTCTTGAAATTCTTACTTTATTCGAACTCCCATTCAGGATGGCGGTTCGTTTGGTGACATGTTTCTGCACGCGCTGCGGGCCTCTTCCATGATCTGCCTTGGTCTGTACCGTTTCCGAGACAGTAACAAGGTCAGTGTTGGAGTACCATCCGCCAAGCGATATGTGATCTGCTCGCCGCCTTACAACTTTGTACTGCAGCAGACAGACCTGGTGTTTGTGCTGGCACATTCAGATCCACAACTGGAGAAACTCAAATGATTGATGCTGTGACAAGTACTTTGGCTGTCACGCAAGTGTTACGTGGCGACCCTTGTAACAACGGTTCTGTAACACACACCTTCCTTCCCCCTCCTTACCTCCCAAAATACATGAGAACTTGTTTCTTACGGTGTCCTTTGTCCGAAGCGCTTGAATCTTGCCAAGATTGTTGTCTTTTGAAGGCACGCAACTTGACTTACATTTTCCTGAATACTTTAGACAAACTAAACAGGTTGAGAATAGAGACAAATCTCCGTTCACTTAGTTACGTATCTGGAAGTTTGACTTCTTTGAGTTCAATAGACTAGAAGTCTGACTAGGTTACAAATTTAATATGGTTCTTTTGTAGCCTTTCTTTGGGTTGTCACGAAACGGGTTTCTCTGCGTGTGACGATTTAATTTAGAGCTGTTGAGCAGTTCTTTCATTTGATAATATTTATTTCCCGTTTTTATTAGAAATTAATTTTGGATTAAGCAAATATTTTGCAGTCAGTGTGAGAAGTTTTTAATATGAATACCTGTACGTGTTTAATATCACCGAAGCTTAAGATTACCTTCCAGGTTTGCTTATTTATTGCCTTTGGGGTAAGGAAAACTCTCCTGAACAATTTTGAATAATTATTAGATGAAAATTTTGACAAGTTGTATTAAGTAGATATTGGCGATAAAACTCTTCTCTGTTGCTGACGCCATCTTGATTTGGAGACAAACATTGCTCAAATTACTTTCAATGTATGTTTCATAGACGTTCCTTGGAAGTTACCCTTATTCACGATTTTTTGCCTCCAGGAACGTTTTCCCCTTACAACCAAGATGGCGCTAGTAACTGAAAAGGTGAACAGACTATACTTGCTTTTCAGTCGTATTTATATTGTCAAATTATTTATAGTTTATTTATTTGTTCAGTATTTATTTATTTCTATAGTGAAATAATAGGTTTAATTCGCAAGTTAATTAGAAGAGGTTGGAAGATGTTTTTTAGAGTCGACTGTCGTCTGCGTGCGGTTAAACGAGATGACAAGACGTAAAAATTAATGTCGTCTGCTTGTTAGTGAGTCAAGACTGTGTTCTGCTCGAGGAAAATTCAGGGTTGCGACAGTTCACGAAATGTTCAGGGAAAAATATATTCAAGGTCAGAATAAGTCAGGGAATTTTATCTCTTGGCATTTTGAAGACAAGCCAGGGGAAAATTGATAAGTATCAAAAGTATTCGAAAACATCGAAAGCTGGAAAAAAGAAAATTAGGGTCTTTTTTTTTTTATGCAAACGACATTTTCCCTTAATGAAGAAAGCGAAAGCTGTTGAAAACTGATCAGTCTCAGTGGCGGATTTAGGGGAGACCCCCCTATTTTGGGTAAAAAAAAAACGAAGGGAGGAGAAGGAAGAAAAGCCGGCAGGGCAAGAAAAAAAAAACCCTCCCTCCCCCCACCCCCTTACCTCAAGGTCTGGAGCCGACACTGAATCTGAAATGAATGAGGGGATAGGACGGCTGTAAGTGTCAGGGTATTTGGAAAAGTGATGTCTGTGGCAACCATGAAATTGTTCATGTTGAAATAACTCGAAATCACAACCGATAGAACACGAGAATAAGTGCCGGCTGGTATACATAACAAAAGCGAGATATTCAGCTCCCATTTGAATCATGCCAGCCGTTCTTGTGCTGTTTTTTTTTATGACTGGTTTAATGTTTAATATTTCACAAATAAAGAAAAACGAGTAGCAGTCAATTTGTAAGTCGGTGAATGCAGTTTAATATCAGAAAGTATACATAAAAAAGTTTTAATAAATAACTTAGATACAACATTGCAGCAAGACATTGACCGTGTATTTAGGAAATTTTTGTAACGTGGGCCGTTACGAAGTATCAGTCCACATTAAGTCAGTTTTCACTCTGCAAGAGGTTTTTAATAAATTGTTACATCTAAAGTAGTTACTAATGGCGCTTTTTTGGGTGTAAACTATCTTAACGGCCAATTCTCTCAATAAGACGCGGGGGAACCGAGACCGTTTAAATGAGGCCTTAAGCCGCTCCGAAAGGCTATCGCAAGGAAGCGATTTTTCTTTCCAGTTCACCGATATCGACAAAGCCTTGGTTCTCGTAACTTGTTTGCTCTTGTGTGGTATCCTCATTGGTCGTTTCAACTGTCCAGCTTCTCGTCATTAGCCCAGCTGGACGATACTGCAAGGTGAAGTAATCCTCTTCACCTTTCTTCACATCAAACAAGAATCTTTTCAAAAGCCTTCCAAACGGTCCCAGGCACTTACCGCATTTGATCAAGGTAAACACCAACAGGCTTTCTACAAGAAGGGCCAGCAACGAAAAAGCGGCCACTCCGACAAGAACCCAGAAGAGGCCAGCAAAGTCGATGGCTTTCAGAGGTCGGTGCTCATTTCTTCCACAGGTCTGTTTGGGAAACCATCGCTCCTCGATCGACTTCACAGTGCTGTTTTCCTGGTGCTTTAAGACCGAGAGGGAAATCTCTTGCAGCCATGGCATGCCATGTTTAGAGACGGCAAAACCGTAGCCTGACTTGAGAGAGTGTTCTTTAATCAAAATGAAATTGCAGTCCTTGTCTGTGCTGGCGATGTGACGGAGAGACAAGTAGTCGCCTATTAAGCCGTCGATGGTCCTGGAAGAATATCAGTGACACATAGCGATTAAAGAAGCTCAGTCACGGTATTTTGAGTTAGTTTGGCCACGGACAAAATTACCTTTAAATTGAAGGAAACCTGAAAATAGTAGTTTACTGAGATAGAAAAACTCCAAAGAGATAATAATAAACCGTAAAGGAACAAGGATGGTTAAGGATGGAGAAGATTAACAAGGATTACAAACGACGAACTTAAAACATTTAGGCTAAATTGTTCAAGACGCACAAACCACCTCCTTTTAACAGGACTGGCCTGCCCGGGTCATATGGAGACCTCCATATCCTAGAGAATTCTGAAACATTCCCTAGTCAGTTTTCTCCCTCCCTGGTGAGGGATGTCGCCCGTGGAAGGAAATGTATTGTCTAAACCATCATCACCCTAGTGGGGTTTTTGCCTAGCCTTGTGAGAGTTTCATTGTCCACAGGACCCAGGAAACATTCAGGCCTAAAAATGTCCGTTACATAGCAGTGCAATAGTGAACTTAGATTATCGCCGTTGGGTACGTACGTAGCAGTACAGTATTTGAAAAAAGATAAGCGAAACCTTAGCGAACCCTCTCCTGAAATTCGAGGATCATTAATTTTGGAACTTGACGGTCATTTTTGGAAGTTTGATGTAAGGGTAAAGAAGTGAAATCAGAACAGAAATATTTAGCTAAATCAAACATACCCTGCCTTCAACTGTTCGACTCCTGATGTCAAGCTTGTCACACTGTTTTTTCGCAAGTTGACATCATAAATTTTACGGAACGAAGAATTAACATGATGCTTGAAGTAATCTTCTTCATTTGAACCTCGCACAGCGGCCACCTTAAACTCTGGAGGTTCAGAGATGATCTGGGAACGAGACAAGAGGACTGTGAAACTGCCACGACTTATTTGAGCACCAATTTCTCCTCGTCTCTTTTTGGCAAATTGTGTTAATTAAGGTTGTCGTTTTTTTTGTCAGAAAATCTCCCTTCTCTCAAACTTCCTCATTAACCTCTTTTCTCTTATGGGAATCATAAATGATTAGGTCAAACAATTATTCTCGTTTTCATACTACATTTGCCTCACGAATGAATGCTACTAAGAAAAAAAATTCTTACATACATTAAGATTTCTCTACAAGCACTGTTTTTCACTATCCTTCTACATGCATTTTCAATTTATTTAACATTTCTCAGAGCAACCGTCCAGACTACAATCCTGGCCAGATTTCCTTGGAACACTTGACAAGATGCCAACTGGTGATGCCCCCCTTCCCCCCCCCCGCGCGCCAAAGCAATCTTACAATAGTGGGCCTACTTTGGATGGATCAGCAGCAACATTGTGCTGGGGGTGGAGTTGGGGAGGTTGACAGAAATTCCGTGTGTTGGCTAAAGTGCATATTGTCCCAAGACTTTTGACCAGGATTGTAGGTGTATTCTTATTGGTCAATTCAAATTCAAGCGCAGTACCAGTTTTGAGTTAGAGTCGGAAAAAGCGCAGAGATAACTTGGAACATTAACATTCATGCACTCGTACAGCGCATACACACGTACCTTAGGATCACGAACGCCAGTTATGGGAAGACCGACTTTTTCTTCAACTAAGAACGCCATGAGGTTAGCACAGTAAGAATTGATCATGACGAGAGCGAGACATGAGTAGACATAGGACACGAGCCGTGAACTTGTGCTCAGCGGAGTTCTGACTGGGCCGATATCCTTACCAAACGCCACACCGCCAACATAACTGATGGAATCTGCCAAAACAGTAAGAAACAATGTTAAAAAATGAAGATCGAGTGCTCTTGAAAGCGCTAACCTGGGACCCGCCTTCATTGCGCTCAACCTCATACCCAAAGCCTTTGTTCCCCTTGGCCAGCGGCGGGAAGCGGGCGACTCTGTGAAATTCTCTTTGGAAGGTCAACAATGTCAGAGATCAAACATCGCCCAAAATGGCCAAAGAAACTGGGAGAGCTTTTCACCTACTTATACTAATAACTAAATTAGTACAAACTGAAATGGGAAATGCTCATTCGGTATTACGGCGGCTTTCAATAACACGCGAACTCCGCTTAATCAACGGTTTCATCATCTTAGCGGTAGACTACGAGTAGTTCCACTTTCGCTTAGTCCGTCGTGCCTGACGTAAAGGAAAGCCTCGAAAAAAAAACATAATGGCCGCGCGGGGGCTTCGTTTTGTGCGCTTCTCGCCCCCAGGATTTCGCGCGGCCATTTTTTCCTCGAGGGTTTCTTTCACGTCACGCAAGCGAAAGAGGGACAACTCATAGTCTATCTTAGCGGTCCTCTCTTCAAAGAAACGTTTACTTCAACGAGATCAAAAGGTCACATCTGTGTATCAATGAGTTTTCGCCAATATGTCATCAAACATGTTCTCAACCGCTCTCCGATGTCACCAACTACCTCTCCCCCGTCAAAATCATGAGCATTACACTGTAGAGACACGACCGATTTCGATTCCTCAGAGGGAGGGATGTTAGTAATTTCTTGTCACGGTACAAGAAGCCAGTTTACCCAGTAATGTGAATCCGTCCTCATCGCTGCCCTTGAGCACATGATAGTAGCCTTGGGGGCTTTTCCGGTCCAGACACCATATTACAACAAAGACTATGCAAGCAGTTGCCATTTGACACAACCATAAAACTGTGCTGAAGGGGTGTAGCCAAGAATCTCTATTTATGTCTGAAAGGTTAAGGCACAAAATCAAGGCAAATTAAGGCAAATCATTGTGAAATATGGAAGAAAGGTTAATTTAAGCACTAAAAGCTGCTACGATTTCTCAGAATTAGTAGAAAACGAGAAATTGCTCAGAATGTAAGAAGTTGCTTGAGACGAGAAACGTTGCTCGAAATACGAGAAGTTGCCAAAAAGTTGCCGAGCAACTTGCGGAAAGTCCTAACCATGATGTACGTACTTACCTTTGTGTCCATCCTCGTTAATCAAGATGCCTAGCTCCAAAAGTAGCGTTGGATGAGCAAATCCCAGCACTTCAGCTCGCCTGCTGTTCATACCCATTTCTAATGAAAGCATGGCCCTACCACTTATCAGCTCTTGCACAATGCCATTCCATTTACCAGCGCTATCATTGTACACTCCGTATTTCCCATCGGGAGTAAAATAGATATACGCTTCGAAGTTAAGGTCTTTTTGGAGAAACGACAAAAAGTCCAGTGAAGCACCGAAGCAACAAAACATCTTTGGTGGAATGTTAGCCGACATATCTTCATGGCTGTTTTCATAACACGCCACAAACCTCCCAAAGCACTCTTCTCCGACACCAGGAGGTATCTTATTGACCAGAGGAGGATAATCGTTCACGGCCACGCGGATAACACGTTTTGGAATTTGAGAAGCGGCTTTTATGAGCGTTCCGTTTGGTGCTGTGAATTTCTCCATAGCAAGGCCAGTGGTTGCACCCATTCCTGCAGGGAACCATTTCTTTACACCATCTCCGTCTCTCTTCAGGTTCCAGATTGTAAAAGCGGGATGCTTGTTCTTGAGCGCAAGAGGATCAAAGAGTATACTTCGCCCCGACAATGATATCTGTGTCAAGTATCTGCACAGTAAAATTATGTAAATATCAGGTTAAATTGCCTGGGATATCATCTCTTACGCGTTTCTATTCGAATGCTCATTGGTCATGTACAGAGTGAACCATTCCTCGCCTCTCCCACGAAACTAAATATAGGTATTCATGCTATCTTCAAGCTAGGCCTTCAAACACAGCATGTGTTAGCATTTAGCAGAAAATTAACTTTAGCGAAAGCTAAAAGGGATTGGGAGAGAGGAAGACCTGTTTAGAACAAAAGCTGCACGATTTATGGGCACATTGAAGACGATGTCGTTCAAAAACTGATCATGAACAAAGACTTGTACATCTAGAAAAATGAGTGAGAATCAAGAGAGGATCAAAGACTTTTCCCCACATTTTCCGCCATTTCGTCTCAGGTAGTCTCAAGAAACTCGCCTGGACTCTCCACGCAACGCGCGAGCTTTCGAGGAAAAACTGGGTACTATGTCTAAATATAACTTAAGAGGGACTTGGATTCCACCTTGATCTTCTCTTGGTGGTAATATATTTGAAAACAAAGGTTGGAAATTGAGAGGCAGATACCTTTTGGAAATGCACCTTATTCTGTCACGGGTGATTCTTTGTCCACAATCCTCTACATTGAAATTCAGAGAATACTCTTTCAAACTCTCTTCAAAGGAAAGTTGAAACAATGAGACGGCATCGTGAAGAGCATTTTCGTAAATAACGTAGTCGTGATGTTTTTCTGGACGTTTGAGGCTTATCTTTAGCAGTCCCTGTGGAAGTTTCTGACAGTTTTTAAACTGGTGGCTTGTGATTTCTGTTATAATCCACACAGCTTTCTGTTTCCTGAGGCCAAGCTCTTGAACAATCTCAAAGAGCTGCGCATCCTGCCACAACCTGCTATGCATAACAATAACATCGTTTGTCGTATTACCCACTACATCTTTTAATTCTGTTTTTGTGCCATTTCCAATCGGGTCCTCCGTTAGCCAGACTACCTTAAGAATTTGCCATTTCTCCTGAAAAGCGTAGCTTCGCATACTCTCCACAAATGTGATGCCTTCGTAGTCAGCAGACAGCACTAACGAAATAGTTTTCCATCCATGTTTCTTTATGATTCTCCAAACTGAGGTCGCGTAGCGAAAAATTGATGGAAATACCACTCTCGTAAAATCACCAGGATGTTCCTAATAAAGGAATAAAACAAAAAAGGGATCAAAAGAAGGCGAAACGAACTTTCAACTGTTTGCCTTACGTTTTCTACTTCCCTTTTTATTTCTAATACCTGACAGGATCAAATGCAGTAAGAAAATTATAATTGACACATCTTACTTTCTTACTTGAATTCGTTTTACGCTTCGTGTGAAATGTCAGTTTGTTGGCTTTTTATTACCAATTTATTTTAGTTGAGTTTAGTTTCTACGCCTCTACATCTTTAAATTCTTTTACTGAGATAATTGTAATTTTAATTTGAAAACAAAAATAAAAATGTATGTATAAAAAAATGCATGTAGATAAAAGAAAAGCTAAAATCGGAACGTCGGAAGAAGACTGAAATCTGAAACAGTTGTGAGACGAAATCATGCCACGATCCTTGAGTAAACTTATATTTTTTCATAAACTTACTAAGTGGTTGTCTGTATTGCTAAAGTAGAATAAAGGAAAGTGGAACAAGAGAACTGAAACGAATCTAATTAAATGTCATTGAAAGCTACTGATTATTTGGTGAGAAAATTAAAAAATAATTACATAGTTCAATAAATATCTATGAGTGACCTGGCGAAAGTAATTTTGCAGAATTCCGAAAACTGTGCAAATATTAGTGGATAATGGCTTTTAAGGCTTTTTTTCTAGTTAATGTTTTTAGCTGTATTCTTTCTCCCCATTTCGTGGCTCATTCGGTTGCGTTTTTAATGGCACATATGTTCGCGGATACACCATGCTTAAAGAAAATAATCTTCAAAACCTCAGGTTGGAGAAACAGAGTCGCTTAGCAAAATCGTTTGGGAAGAAACCTTCAAAGTTTAAGGAACATTAAATCTTACTGATAGTAATTTTAAGCTACCAGCATTACAGTCTTCATTGAAAAAGACAAGGAAAAGTTTATTAAAAATTCATGATTTTGTATCACAGGAAATTAACGACAAGTTCGATTCACTGATGGCATCGGGCTGAGCGGTCGAAGAAGCATTTTGCCAGCTAGCATTAAAATCAATCTTTTGTTGTTGACTTTTAAACTGTAAGTTGGTAAATTAAAACACTTTTGAGGCGCAAATATCTCTCTATGTTACCTCAGTTCGGAAACCTCCTTGCTCTTGAAATAAACCAACTGTTAAGACGTGTAAACTTTTCAACAGCGATGAAAAAGCTACTGAATCGGGCGTTACGTCGATAAAAATTGCTCCATCTACTGTTG